AAAATAGACAAGTGAGATTACATTAGATTAAGAAGTTTCTGCACAGCAATAGCACAGTAATTAGTGTGAATCAACAGCCCTCAGATGGGAGAATATTTTTGTGAACTACACCGTAGATAAGGAACTGATAACCAGAATACACAGGGAACTCAAGTGGCATACTCCCCAAAAATGATTAATACAATTAAAAGCTGGGAAAATGAGCTGAACAAACACTTCTCTAAGGAAGACATGAACAGTCAAAAAGCTTATGAAAAAATTCTCATCATCCCTCATCATAAGGGAGATGCAGATCAAAACCTCAATGAGGTATCACCTAACCCCAGTCAGGAAGGCTAAGATTAAAAACAAAAACAAAAACAAAAACAAAAACAAAAAAGAGAAGTGCTGGCAGGACTGTGGTAAAAGGGGAACTCTCCTACACTGCTTATGGAATGTAAATTGGTACAACCACTGTGGAGAACGATATGGAGGTTCTCAAAGATCTACAGATAGAACTACCATATGATCCAGCAATTCCACTCCTGGGTATCTACCCAAAGGATAGAAGAACGTTCAGACAGAAAAGTGCTTGCACATTTATGTTTATTGCAACATTATTAACTATTGCTAAGACATTGGACCAACCCAAATGTCCACTAACAGATGACTGAATTGGAAAATTGTGGCACATATACTCTATGGAATACTACTCAGTCAAGAAAACCAACAAGATCCTGGCATTTCATAGAAGGTGGATGAATATGGGAGATCTACTGCTGAGTGAAGCAAGCCAGGCTATGAAAGAGAGACATGGTATGTCTCCACTTAATATATAATGACTGTCAGCACTCTGTGGTGGAAACAGATAGCTTAGAGGACACAGAAGCATAGAAAATGGTTATGGGTACTGGGGACAGTATGGGAAGAGGGTGGGAGAAGCAGGAGAGTGTGAGGAAAGAATTAAGGAGAAAAATAGAGAGGCAAGACATTTATGGGACACAGAAATAGTTTATTATCTGTTGATAATGTGTACAGATTCCTCAACTGGACTGGTGTGAAGAGTATTCATGTGGGGTAAATTCACTTTATAAGCTACATGATATATAGTGATCGAATGTATAAAATAAATTAAAATTAAAAAAAAAAGTAACTTAAAATATAAAACATCTTGCACTGAGCAAACACTCAATAAATATTACCATAGGTATAAGACCCTACGGATTACTTGGTAGAAACATTAAAAGATTAAAAACATTGAACTAAACACAGATTTGGAATACACAGTGCTTTATGAAACTTGAAACATTAAGAACATCAAGTTCTTCTTTCCCAAATTTTATCTATTCTATTCTGTCTCCCAAAAGAATAAACATGGAGTAGATGCATTTAAATCTGAAGTCTAGGTCTGTATAGTAAAAAAAAAAAAAAAAAAAAAAAAAAAAAAAAA